AAACCAAAAATGCTTTAAATTTCATTTTAAAACATATCTAGGTAATATTAATGATATAGAATGCTAATAAAGATATAAAATCGATATTTTTTTGAAAATAGCCTACTATGATCAAAACCAAAAATGCTTTAAATTTCATTTTAAAACATATCTAGGTATTATAAATGATAAAAAATGCTAATAAAGATATAAAATCGATAATTTTTTGAAAATAGCCTACTATAATCAAAACCAGAAATGCTTAAATTTCATTTTAAAACATAACAAGGTTTTATAAATGATAAAAAATGCTAATAAAGATATAAAATTGTTATTTTTTTGAAAATAGCCTACTATGATCAAAACCAAAAATGCTTAAAATTTCATTTTAAAATATATTTAGGTATTATAAATGATAAAGGATGCTAATATAGATCTAAAATCAATATTTTTTTGAAAATAGCCTACTATAATCAAAACCAAAAATGCATTAAATTGCATTTTAAAACATATCAAGGTATTATAAATGATAAAAAATGCTTTTATAGATATAAAATTGATATTTTTTTGAAAATAGCCTACTATGATCGAAACCAAAACAGCTAAAAATTTCATTTTAAAACATATCTAGGTAATATAAATGATAAAGAATGCTAATGTAGATATAAAATCGATATTTTTTTGAAAATAGCATACTATGATCGAAACCAAAAATGCTTAAAATTTCATTTTAAAATATATTTAGGTATTATAAATGATAAAGGATGCTAATATAGATCTAAAATCAATATTTTTTTGAAAATAGCCTACTATAATCAAAACCAAAAATGCATTAAATTGCATTTTAAAACATATCAAGGTATTATAAATGATAAAGAATGCTTTTATAGATATAAAATTGATATTTTTTTGAAAATAGCCTACTATGATCAAAACCAAAAATGCTTTAAATTGCATTTTAAAACATAACAAGGTTTTATAAATGATAAAAAATGCTAATAAAGATATAAAATTGTTATTTTTTTGAAAATAGCCTACTATGATCAAAACCAAAAATGCTTAAAATTTCATTTTAAAATATATTTAGGTATTATAAATGATAAAGGATGCTAATATAGATCTAAAATCAATATTTTTTTGAAAATAGCCTACTATAATCAAAACCAAAAATGCATTAAATTGCATTTTAAAACATATCAAGGTATTATAAATGATAAAGAATGCTTTTATAGATATAAAATTGATATTTTTTTTGAAAATAGCCTACTATGATCAAAACCAAAAATGCTTTAAATTTCATTTTAAAACATATCTAGGTATTATAAATGATAAAAAATGCTAATAAAGATATAAAATCGATATTTTTTTGAAAATAGCCTACTATAATCAAAACCAAAACAGCTAAAAATTTCATTTTAAAACATATCTAGGTAATATAAATGATAAAGAATGCTAATGTAGATATAAAATCGATATTTTTTTGAAAATAGCCTACTATGATCAAAACCAAAAATGCTTTAAATTTCATTTTAAAACATATCTAGGTATTATAAATGATAAAAAATGCTAATAAAGATATAAAATCGATATTTTTTTCGAAAATAGCCTACTATAATCAAAACCAAAACAGCTAAAAATTTCATTTTAAAACATATCTAGGTATTATAAATGATAAAAAATGCTAATAAAGATATAAAATCGATATTTTTTTGAAAATAGCCTACTATGATCAAAACCAAAAATGCTTAAAATTTCATTTTAAAATATATTTAGGTATTATAAATGATAAAGGATGCTAATATAGATCTAAAATCAATATTTTTTTGAAAATAGCCTGCTATGATCAAAACCAAAAATGCTTTAAATTGCATTTTAAAAAATATCTAGGTATTATAAATGATAAAAAATGCTAATTTAGATATAAAATCGATATTTTTTCGAAAATTGCCTACTATGATAAAAACCAAAAATGCTTAAAATTTCATTTTAAAACATATCTAGGTAATATAAATGATTTAGAATGCTAATGTAGGTAAAAAATCGATAATTTTTTGAAAATAGCCTACTATAATCAAAACCAGAAATGCTTAAATTTCATTTTAAAACATATCAAGGTATTATAAATGATAACAAATGCTAATTTAGATATAAAATCGATATTTTTTTGAAAATTACCTACTATGATCAAAACCAAAAATGCTTAAAAATTCATTTTAAAACATATCTAGGTAATATAAATGATAAAGAATGCTAATGTAGATATAAAAATGATATATTTTTTGAAAAAAACCTACTATGATAAAAACCAAAAATGCTTTAATTTGCATTTCAAAACATATCTAGGTATTATAAATGATAAAAAATGCTAATTTAGATATAAAATCGATATTTTTTCGAAAATTGCCTACTATGATAAAAACCAAAAATGCTTAAAATTTCATTTTAAAACATATCTAGGTAATATAAATGATATAGAATGCTAATGTAGGTAAAAAATCGATAATTTTTTGAAAATAGCCTACTATGCTCAAAACCAAAAATGCTTAAAATTTCATTTTAAAACATAACAAGGTTTTATAAATGATAAAAAATGCTAATAAAGATATAAAATCGATATTTTTTTGAAAATAGCCTGCTATGATCAAAACCAAAAATGCTTAAAATTTCATTTTAAAACATATTTAGGTATTATAAATGATAAAGGATGCTAATATAGATCTAAAATCAATATTTTTTTGAAAATAGCCTACTATGATCAAAATCAAAAAAACTTTTTAAAAAAACTACGTTTTTCGCGTAGACTAAAAAGTAGAAAATAACTTTTATTCTTGGTTGTAAAGAATTTGGTTTTAAATTTTCAGATTATATTTAATAAATTTTTATATCCTAGTCAATATTGTTCACAAAGTTTCGAATAAGTGCATTTTGATCTTATCGTATAACTCAACAACTTAAAAACGTGGGCGCATTATAAGAGGAGAAATAAGTTTATGTGAAATCAATACTTTATGATAAACTTAAATTAATGCGCCCACGTTTTTAAGTTGTTGAGTTATACGATAAGATCAAAGTGCACTTATTCGAAACTTTGTGAACAATATTGACTAGGATATAAAAATTTATTAAATATAATCTGAAAATTTAAAACCAAATTCTTTACAACCAAGAATAAAAGTTATTTTCTACTTTTTAGTCTACGCGAAAAACGTAGTTTTTTTAAAAAGTTTTTTTTATAAAGTATTTTATTTTCAACTTTTTAGTCTTATTCTAATGAAATAGAGAAATAAAGATTATAGGGGGTTCATAGGTTACAGGTGTGTTGAACTTCACTTCGTTGCACTTCGTTACGTTCAACTGTTTATAGATTACAGTAGGTTCATAGGTTACAGGTGTGTTGAACTTCACTTCGTTGCACTTCGTTACGTTCAACTGTTTATAGATTACAGTAGGTTTATAGGTTACAGGTGTGTTGAACTTCACTTCGTTACGTTCAACTGTTTATAGATTACAGTAGGTTTATAGGTTACAGGTGTGTTGAACTTCACTTCGTTACACTTCGTTACGTTCAACTGTTTATAGATTACAGTAGGTTTATAGGTTACAGGTGTGTTGAACTTCACTTCGTTACGTTCAACTGTTTATAGATTACAGTAGGTTTATAGGTTACAGGTGTGTTGAACTTCACTTCGTTGCACTTCGTTACGTTCAACTGTTTATAGATTACAGTAGGTTTATAGGTTACAGGTGTGTTGAACTTCACTTCGTTACGTTCAACTGTTTATAGATTACAGTAGGTTCATAGGTTACAGGTGTGTTGAACTCCACTTCGTTGCACTTCGTTACGTTCAACTGTTTATATATTACAGTAGGTTCATAGGTTACAGGTGTGTTGAACTCCACTTCGTTGCACTTCGTTACGTTCAACTGTTTATAAATTACAGTAGGTTTATAGGTTACAGGTGTGTTGAACTTCACTTCGTTGCACTTCGTTACGTTCAACTGTTTATAGATTACAGTAGGTTCATAGGTTACAGGTGTGTTGAACTCCACTTCGTTACGTTCAACTGTTTATAGATTACAGTAGGTTCATAGGTTACAGGTGTGTTGAACTCCACTTCGTTGCACTTCGTTACGTTCAACTGTTTATAAATTACAGTAGGTTTATAGGTTACAGGTGTGTTGAACTTCACTTCGTTGCACTTCGTTACGTTCAACTGTTTATAGATTACAGTAGGTTCATAGGTTACAGGTGTGTTGAACTCCACTTCGTTGCACTTCGTTACGTTCAACTGTTTATAGATTACAGTAGGTTCATAGGTTACAGGTGTGTTGAACTCCACTTCGTTGCACTTCGTTACGTTCAACTGTTTATAGATTACAGTAGGTTTATAGGTTACAGGTGTGTTGAACTTCACTTCGTTACGTTCAACTGTTTATAGATTACAGTAGGTTTATAGGTTACAGGTGTGTTGAACTTCACTTCGTTACACTTCGTTACGTTCAACTGTTTATAGATTACAGTAGGTTTATAGGTTACAGGTGTGTTGAACTTCACTTCGTTACGTTCAACTGTTTATAGATTACAGTAGGTTTATAGGTTACAGGTGTGTTGAACTTCACTTCGTTGCACTTCGTTACGTTCAACTGTTTATAGATTACTGTAGGTTTATAGGTTACAGGTGTGTTGAACTTCACTTCGTTACGTTCAACTGTTTATAGATTACAGTAGGTTCATAGGTTACAGGTGTGTTGAACTCCACTTCGTTGCACTTCGTTACGTTCAACTGTTTATATATTACAGTAGGTTCATAGGTTACAGGTGTGTTGAACTCCACTTCGTTGCACTTCGTTACGTTCAACTGTTTATAAATTACAGTAGGTTTATAGGTTACAGGTGTGTTGAACTTCACTTCGTTGCACTTCGTTACGTTCAACTGTTTATAGATTACAGTAGGTTCATAGGTTACAGGTGTGTTGAACTCCACTTCGTTACGTTCAACTGTTTATAGATTACAGTAGGTTCATAGGTTACAGGTGTGTTGAACTCCACTTCGTTGCACTTCGTTACGTTCAACTGTTTATAAATTACAGTAGGTTTATAGGTTACAGGTGTGTTGAACTTCACTTCGTTGCACTTCGTTACGTTCAACTGTTTATAGATTACAGTAGGTTCATAGGTTACAGGTGTGTTGAACTCCACTTCGTTGCACTTCGTTACGTTCAACTGTTTATAGATTACAGTAGGTTCATAGGTTACAGGTGTGTTGAACTCCACTTCGTTGCACTTCGTTACGTTCAACTGTTTATAGATTACAGTAGGTTTATAGGTTACAGGTGTGTTGAACTCCACTTCGTTTCACTTCGTTACGTTCAACTGTTTATAGATTACAGTAGGTTTATAGGTTACAGGTGTGTTGAACTCCACTTCGTTTCACTCCGTTACGTTCAACTGTTTATAAATTACCAGTTTTCAATGGGAAATTAGTAACGACTTTCAAAATTTTTCATTCGTTTTATAAAATTTAATTTTTTTAAAGCATTCATTAGTAAAGTACATTAAAAATCACTCGTAAAGATTTTGTGTTTATCTGTACCATTTCTACTTCATAACGTGTGGATTCTTACTATAAAGATGCAAATCACATATGTAACGTATTTATAACGGATTTTCAAATTTAAATTCAATGAATATCATTTATATGTTATGCAAAAATACGTCAAGCCGTTAATAAAAAGAAAAGTCAATTTAATTAAGTTGGTGAAGTGTTATAAATAATGCAATACATTTAAAACAGCATAAATTTATGCTCAAACTATGTGTGTTAAATGCACATCGCATATTAATAGTTATTTTGCATTAATTCGTAACGGACTTGTGCTTAACGGTTTTTTTGAAAATTCAAATTTTCACTTACGAATATTCATGAAAAAATTACATGTCAATTTTTTTGTCTTACCAGAATATCTTTAGCTGCTCAAATTTATGGTATAATTAATAATTAGTAATATTAATTAAACTATAATGAATCATATAAATGACTTTAGAGCATCACATGTATAATATTTAATACAAATCAAAATTTTATATCATTGACATTGGATTTTTTCCCATATAAAAAACTTTTACATAAATTGTACTATAATTAAGTATTTTTGTGATTCCAGAATGCTAAAATATTGTATTGTCATCGGAAATATAAGTGCATGCAAAATTTCAGCTCGATTGGAGCAGTAGAAGTGGTCGAAAAATTGATTGCAAGATTTGACCAAGACAAACAGAAAGACAGAAAGACAGAAAGACAAGAAAGCAAGTTAAGAAAAACGTGGTAAAAATGCATTAAATTGCATTTTAAAACATATCAAGGTATTATAAATGATAACAAATGCTAATTTAGATATAAAATCGATATTTTTTTGAAAATTACTTGCAATGATCAAAACCAAAAATGCTTAAAATTTCATTTTAAAACATATCTAGGTAATATAAATGATAAAGAATGCTAATGTAGATATAAAATCGATATTTTTTGAAAATAGCTAATATGATCAAAACCAAAAATCCTTTAAATTGCATTTTAAAACATATCTAGGTTTTTTAAATGTTAACAAATGCTAATTAAGATCTAAAATCGATATTTTTTTGAAAATTGCCTACTATGATCAAAACCAAAAATGCTTTAAATTGCATTTTAAAACATATCTAGGTTTTATAAATGTTAACAAATGCTAATTAAGATCTAAAATCGATATTTTTTGAAAAAAGCCTACTATGATCCAAACCAAAAATGCTTTGAATTGCATTTTAAAACATATCTAGGTAAAATAAATGATAAAGAATGCTAATGTAGATATAAAATCGATATTTTTTTGAAAATAGCCTACTATGATCAAAACCAAAAATGCTTAAAATTTTATTTTAAAACATATCTAGGTAAAATAAATGATAAAGAATGCTAATGTAGATATAAAATCGATATTTTTTTGAAAATAGCCTACTATGATCAAAACCAAAAATGCTTTAAATTGCATTTTAAAACATATCTAGGTATTATTAATGATCAAGAATGCTAATATAGATATAAAATCGATATTTTTTTGAAAATAGCCTGCTATGATCAAAACCAAAAATGCTTTCATTTGCAATTTAAAACATATCTAGGTATTATAAATTATAAAGAATGCTAATGTAGATATAAAATCGATATTTTTTTGAAAATAGCCAACTATTATCAAAACCAAAAATGCTTTCATTTGCATTTTGAAACATATCTAGGTATTATAAATGATCAAGAATGCTAATATAGATATAAAATCGATATTTTTTTGAAAATAGCCTACTATGATCAAAGCCAAAAATGCTTTAATTTGCATTTTAAAACATATCTAGGTATTATAAATGATCAAAAATGCAAATATAGACATAAAATTGATAATTTTTTATTACTACGTTTTTCTTAACTTGCTTTCTTATCTGTCTGTTTATTTGTCTGTCGAGGTCAAATCTTGCGATCAATTTTTCGACCACTTCTACTGCTCCAATCGAGCTCATTTTTTTTATTCACACGTATTCCCGGTGACAATACAATATTTTAACACATTGGAACCACAAAAATGCTTAATTATAGTACAATTTTAATAAAACTTTTTTATTTGGGAGAAAAATCCAATGTCAATGATATGAAATTTTGATTTGTTTAAAATATTATACTTGTGATGCTCTAAAGTCATTTATATGATTCATTATAGTTTAATTAATATTACTAATTATTAATTATACCATAAATTTGAGCAGCTAAAGATATTCTGGTAAGACAAAAAAATTGACATGTAATTTTTTCTTGAATATTCGTAAGTGAAAATTTGAATTTTCAAAAAAACCGTTAAGCACAAGTCCGTTACGAATTTATGCAAAATAACTATTAATATGCGATGTGCATTTAGCACACATTGATTGAGCATAAATTTATGCTGTTTTAAATGTATTGCATTATTTAGAACACTTCACCAACTTAATTAAATTGACTTTTCTTTTTATTAACGGCTTGACGTATTTTTGCATAACATATGAATGATATTCATTGAATTTAAATTTGAAAATCCGTTATAAATACGTTACATATAGATTTGATTTGCATCTTTATGTTAAGAATCCACACGTTATGTAGTAGGAATGGTTCGGATAAACACAAAATCTTTACGAGTGATTTTTAATGTACTTTACTAATGAATGCTTTAAAAAAATTAAATTTTATAAAACGAATGAAAAATTTTGAAAGTCGTTACTAATTTCCCATTGAAAACTGGTAATTTATAAACAGTTGAACGTAACAGAGTGAAACGAAGTGGAGTTCAACACACCAGTAACCTATGAACCTACTGTAATCTATAAACAGTTGAACGTAACGAAGTGCAACGAAGTGGAGTTCAACACACCTGTAACCTATAAACCCACTGTAATCTTTAAACAGTTGAACGTAACGAAGTGCAACGAAGTGAAGTTCAACACACCTGTAACCTATAAACCTACTGTAATCTATAAACAGTTGAACGTAACGAAGTGCAACGAAGTGGAGTTCAACACACCAGTAACCTATGAACCTACTGTAATCTATAAACAGTTGAACGTAACGAAGTGCAACGAAGTGAAGTTCAACACACCTGTAACCTATAAACCTACTGTAATCTATAAACAGTTGAACGTAACGAAGTGCAACGAAGTGAAGTTCAACACACCTGTAACCTATAAACCTACTGTAATCTATAAACAGTTGAACGTAACGAAGTGCAACGAAGTGAAGTTCAACACACCTGTAACCTATAAACCTACTGTAATCTATAAACAGTTGAACGTAACGAAGTGCAACGAAGTGAAGTTCAACACACCTGTAACCTATGAACCTACTGTAATCTATAAACAGTTGAACGTAACGAAGTGCAACGAAGTGAAGTTCAACACACCTGTAACCTATAAACCTACTGTAATCTATAAACAGTTGAACGTAACGAAGTGCAACGAAGTGGAGTTCAACACACCAGTAACCTATGAACCTACTGTAATCTATAAACAGTTGAACGTAACGAAGTGCAACGAAGTGGAGTTCAACACACCTGTAACCTATAAACCCACTGTAAACTTTAAACAGTTGAACGTAACGAAGTGCAACGAAGTGAAGTTCAACACACCTGTAACCTATAAACCTACTGTAATCTATAAACAGTTGAACGTAACGAAGTGCAACGAAGTGAAGTTCAACACACCTGTAACCTATAAACCTACTGCTTTGATCTTATCGTATAACTCAACAACTTAAAAACGTGGGCGCATTATAAGAGAAGAAATAAGTTTATGTGAAATCAATACTTTATGATAAACTTAAATTAATTTTGAACTGGCTTGTTCGGTGCTGGTGGGCAGCCAATGAAGCCATACTTCACCATGATTTTAAATGCAGTTCCTTGAGGTGCATCCTTTGGTGGTTTGGCTCTTGACTTTTCGATTCTTTTGGAATACGAAATGAACGATGGGCACAGTCTATAACTGGCAGCATGATCGCCATTGCAATTAATGCACTTGGCATTTCCATCACGAGTGGATCGTTGACATTGATTTGGTCCGTGAACTTCCGTGCACTTAACGCATCGGAATTTATATCCACAATTTTGAGATGAGTGACCCCAACGTTGGCAGTTGAAGCACTGCGTTGGGCTTTTGTTGCCCTTCTTGATGTACTCCCACTTGACGATGATGTTGTCGATGTTACGGTGGTTATGATTGAGCACGTTGATGTTCACACTTTCATCTTGAAAATGCACAAGATAAAAGGTGAACTCGGGCTTCTTGACGAGAATTGTCACTTTGACAGCTGAAACCTTGGCTTCTTGAAGTAATCTTAGTACTTCATTCGTTGGTGTTTCGTAAAATCCTTTCAGAACGAATGACTTTGTTTTCTCCGATTTCTCGGAGAAGGTGTGGAATTGAATAGTTTGAGACCGCAGAAGGTTTATTATTGAGGCCTTATCCTCAATAGACTTGACAATTACTTGAGTTGTATTTGATGATGAAATTTTATATGCAGACATAACCTGCAATTTCAATAGTGAAATTAATTTTCTCACATCCTTGAGACTGCATTGCACAAATATTGGCTTGACTGAAGTTGTTGCTGTGACTGGAACCGATGATTCCTCTTTCTGAGGCGTTTGCTTCCTCTTCTTGGAATTTTCATTAGATTTGATTGAACTTTCGTCCAAATCAATTTTTGGCGACAAATCTTGCTTTCTTTTGGCTTTCCTCATTGTCCATTCCTTGAGGAAAACACAACCCTTGGCACTTAGTAAGAAGGTTTTTTCAACTAATAACGACTTGGACACTTTAATTAATTTAGTAAAAATTTTTCCACGTTTTTGTGCGCGGGGCTTGAAACTTCTTCAATAAAGATATAAAATCGATATTTTTTTGAAAAAAACCTACTATGATCAAAACCAAAAATGCTTTAAATTTCATTTTAAAACATATTTAGGTATTATAAATGATAAAAAAAATGCTAATCCAAAAATGCTTTAAATTTTATTTTAAAACATATTTGGGTAATATAAATGATAAAGAATGCTAATGTAGATATAAAATCGATATTTTTTTGAAAATAGCCTACTATGATCAAAACCAAAAATGCTTAAAATTGCATTTTAAAACAAATCTAGGTAATATAAATGATGAAGAATTCTTTAATAGATATATAATCGATATTTTTTTGAAAATAGCCTGCTATGATCTAAACCAAAAATGCTTTAAATTGCATTTTAAAACATATTTAGGTATTATAAATGATAAAAAATGCTAATCCAAAAATGCTTTAAATTTCATTTTAAAACAAATCTAGGTAATATAAATGATGAAGAATTCTTTAATAGATATATAATCGATATTTTTTTGAAAATAGCCTGCTATGATCTAAACCAAAAATGCTTTAAATTGCATTTTAAAACATATTTAGGTATTATAAATGATAAAAAATGCTAATCCAAAAATGCTTTAAATTTCATTTTAAAACATATCTAGGTAATATAAATGATGAAGAATTCTTTTATAGATATATAATCGATATTTTTTTGAAAATAGCCTGCTATGATCTAAACCAAAAATGCTTCAAATTGCATTTTAAAACATATCTAGTTATTATAAATGATAACAAATGCTTATTTTGATACAAAATCGATATTTTTTTTAAAAATAGCCTACTATGATAGAAACCAAAAATGCTTTAAATTGCATTTTAGATGTAACGATTGCAAATTTTAATCCGATAGATTTATTTTAATCCTCCCTATATTCATTACGAAATCATATAACTCAGATAATATTTGTCTTTATTGTGAGTTTCTTGTAAATATTTGAAATTTAACATTACATGGATTTTTATTTTAACACCAACCTATTCGGTTTCAATTTAAACTTAACTTGATTCTTAATTACATATTTCGTGATATGTTCAATATAATGAGATTATTGGTTGAAAAAAAGTGGAAAAAAAACCATCATGGAAAAATTAAAATTAAAATGATTTTATATATAAAAAGATAAAAATAAAAAGAAAAACCTCTCCTTTAAGAGGAAATAGGTTTTGGAAGTCTATGCTTCAAACGAAAGTCTAGAGAGTCATATCTATATCGTCCCAGGTTGGAAATTAAATCATTAGAATGTGATTCGCAATTTGAATAAAATTTATTAGTCAGTTTGAGTGTAAACTCATTAATTGTGGGAATTTTAGCTTTAGAATGAACAAATTCATTAGAGATAAAGTCATCCCATTTAAAATCGTAAATTTGTCTTAGTAGCTTATTTTGAAACTTGGAGTTTATTGAAATTAGTTTTTGCACAATTAATGAAGATTGGGCAAGCATAAGTTATTATTGGGCGTAGAATTGATTTGTAGATCCTGAGTTTGGAATCGGAAGAAACTCCCGAATTTCTTTTCAATAATGGGTACAGAGTTGAGTAAGCTAAAGCTTTTGTTTTGCTTAAGACAACATCCAAGTGATGTTTAAATGTAAGTTTCTGGTCTAAATGAACTCCTAGATAGCGGACATGAAATTTCCAATTGAATGAAACGTTGTTAATATAAATTTGATCAGTCTGACACTTCTGGATGACTTTAGTTGATCTTGTGAATATAATGAATTCGGTCTTGTTGTCATTTAAAGTAATTTTCCAGTCTTGGAAGAAGGATTGAAAGGATTTGACAGCTAATATCAAGTTCTGTTAAACATAAGAGAATTTACTAGAATCTGCCTCTATAAAGTAGGCAGTATCGTCAGCGAACAAGGCCAATTCTTTCACATCAGGTAGTGGGATATCATTAATAAATAAATTGAATAGATGAGGTGCAATGACTGATCCTTGTGGGACCCCAGCAAGAATCTTAAAGATGAATGACTTAGATTTATTCATAGACACATACGCTGATCTGTCTTGGAGAAATGAAGCAATAAGTTTAATGAGATATAATGGGTAGTTACACTTGCTTAATTTATGGATGAGATCCCGAGCGGCACGATTTGACGATGACGATCAAATGATCGTCATATGAGCGTCTTCGTCATGACGATGATGATTGTACGATGATTTTTTTTTTCTAAAATATTATGACGATCATATGACAATCAAATGAAAGTCATGAATGACGATAATTTTTGATTTTCTGCCAATTTCGATTGTATGTTTTGCTTAAACTTTTTTCTTTGAACTGTTTTTGCACTGTAAAAACTGATAATTATTTTCTGAATGGCATTTCGAAGATTGAACAAAATTTTTTGTTGAATTATTTTTTTGAGATTTTGTAAATGAGCTTTCATTCAATGTATGCTCACGAATTTTGAATGCAAAAATAGATATGCTTATCATCAAAATGATCTTCAAAATGATTGCAAAATTTGACATAAAATTATCAATGCTAATCAAAGTTACCATTTTTTTGGGTGAAAATTTTGTTTTCTTCATCTGTGTTCGAGAAGTTGAAGTGAGAAGAAGGAAAATTATTTCAATCCGTTGTAAAATTTTTTAAGAATAATCAAAGTGTGTGAATGTGATATTCTAGAAATGGTAAGTTTTAAAAGCAATTGCTGCAAAATAATTTATTAAATGAATTAATTTCATCCATTTTCTTAGGACTATTTCCGTAAAACTTACGTGTGGAACTTACAGCTCAGCGGCAGATGCTTCAACAGCCGTCAAATTTTATTTACATCGACGAAGAGAAAATCAAGCTAAGTTATTGAAGTTGACTTATCAAAACCGATTTAACGACGAGGAAAATCAAGAAAATGATTAAAAAAATCAAGAATATCAAGAAAATAATTAATAATCAATATTCTAATATATTATGACTCATATCATTTCGTATGTTAAATGTTATGGCTTATGTTTATAGTTTATAATAAATATTAAATCGTTAAATTTTAAAAAAAAATATTTCAGTCAAAATTCAGCATATATACCGATATTCAGTATATATATCACGGTTTATGCTCGTCGTCTCGCTATAGTAATTTTGTCATTTGATAGTCATATGACCATCAATTGACGTTTTCATTTGATCGTCGAGTGACGAATTTTTCGTCAAATGACCATCATATGGGGTCATAAATCGAATCGAGACGATGTCATGATGACATCTTGGAGCCAAACAGCATCATAAGCTTTTCTCAAGTCCAAAAGTACTAAACCTAAACTTTTATTACGATTGAAACCTAAAGCAGCCTTTTCAGATATTCTGAGTACTTGCTGTGTCGTTGAGTGTTTCGATTTAAATCCGAATTGCTATTTGATAAAAATGCTGTTGTCCTCTTCAAAAGTACATAAACGAGAAAGAATTAGTCTCTCAAAGACTTTACCAATGGTTGGTAAAAGAGAGATTGGTCTATAATCTGAAGGCTTTGAGGAAGCTGGATTGGACTTCGGTATTGCAACTATCTTAGCTAGTTTCCAAGAAGTTGGAAAATAAGATAAAGCTAAACACGCGTTAAAGAGTTTTGTGAGCAATTTCACAAACGGAACAGAGGAGCTCAAGCATTTAAGTTTTTATGTTATGTTCAATATTTGATTTAATGATAATTAGTGAGCCGCCTTTCTTACGATCAGCTCTAAAAACATTATAATTAGGCAAATAAAAAGAATCTTTCTTTTCTAACCATGATTCGGAGATGAAAGCTATGTCTATGTCATGAATTTGAATGAAATGAAGAAGTTCGGAAAATTTGTTACGAACAGAATGAGCGTTCCAGATCATGAATTTATAATCCATCATTTGGCACTTGATAAACAGAACAAAATTGAACGATATGAAGGACGCGCTTTCTGTCGTCACTAATGAGTTTAAGCTGATCAATTAAAGTTTGGAGCAACTTGAGGGTATTCTGGATATTAGGAATATCCATTAATTGACTAGTTAAATCAGTCAATCTAGAAGTGACTTATTGTGACTCTTTAGACCCTGAAGCACTTACTTGAGGTTGCGACTGGAGTTGTTGTGAATAAGTTGGTGTGTTTACATTATGAGGTGGCAAAGTTTGCGAGTGTGATGATAACTGCGATGAATTGCCTAATACTGGAAAGTCAGCTGCTTGCAAACGCTTTTGGATCAATTTGGCTGGCTGCTTCCGTGCTGATTGGTGATTGCTAATCCTTTTTTCAAAGGCTTTGAAGGCTTCACATCCTCTATGATTGGCCGCATGATCTCCACGACAGTTGCAGCATTTTGCGTATCCTTCTCTCGTTTTTCGAGAGCATTCGCCAATTGGATGATCCTCAGTGCACTTAACACACCGATATTGAAAGCCACAGTTAGTGGCTGAGTGGTCCCATCTTTGGCATCGATGGCACTGTAATCGAGTTTTGATTTTACTCTTTACGGGCTCCCACTTGACTGCTATATCATCAATTATTCGATTATTGTGATTAAGCTGATTACAGTTGATCGTGGACTGATTAAAGTTTACCACATAAAGAGTGTGGAACTCGTTTTTGAAGAGAACTGTGACTTTACTTGCTGGGTCATTGTTGTTTTTCAGGATCGAGAGAATCTCAATAGGGTTTTCATCATAAAATCCCTTAAGCACTAAACTGACATGTTTCTCTGATGGTTCAGTGTATGTGAAATGATTAATTAACTTGCCTTTTAAAGCTTCAAGTACGATTTTCTTGTCGTTTAAAGAGCTGCATGAGATTTGAGTTGAGTTGTTGTTTATAACCTTAAATATTGGTTTAAATGAGAGCTTTAGTTGATTACAAGCTTCTCTGATTATTGCTAAGCTGGACCTTGTAACGATTGGCTTGACTGCTTTAATGTCCGCAACTTGAGTTCTACTTGTCTGTACTTTTTGTGTACTTCCTGAAATTGTCAGGTGAGTTACTGCCGCCTTGCTGACGTCGCTTCTTATTCTTCTCCTTCCCCATAGTACGGAGAGTTTCTTAACTTAATTAACTTGCACTTATGTGTTTTAAAAGCAATGAAAAATACGGAGCAAAAAATTTTGCGTCTGAACGCTTCTAAAGTTGAAGCGAGATTTTGTTAAGCGCCCGCTAGTAGGGCGGAAATTTAGGCGCTTTGCGTCAATCTTCTTAGTTCTCGAGAGTGAAAATAGTGTTTAATCTGGTGGATTATAAATTAATCCAATGGATTAAAAATTAAATCAGCCATATATCCTAATTTTCATTTTTTCCGTGTGATATCTTAAATTAAAGGTAATGAAAAGGAGAACAATCTACAATAAAAAGATTTTCATTTTATTTGGTTTTGAGCTGGTTTAAGAAATATTTATGTAAATCTTGATTAATTTTAAACCGGATTTAAGGGTTTAATTTTATTAATTTTGCTTTATTTGCTCAAAAAGTTCCTGTATTGTCAAAAATGCATTCAAATAGCTAAAACCACTTATGATTGATAGAAATAAATGACTTATTTTTTTTATAGTAGCTGGTCTTAATCCATAACATGGATTAACTAGTGTTTGATCTTCATCATTAATTCTGACTTATTTATTGTATTAAAATTATTTGAAAAAAAATTGACAAACTAAAACAGCAAACTAGAGTTTGACTAGGCCTGTCCCTAGTTCATAATTGAAAATGTATTTCCTACCTGGTTCTTTGGTCAGAAAAAAATTTAGGATGTTTTATTTGCATTTGTTATAAGCATTAGGATATTTATGCAAAGTTTCAATCCATTTGGATAAACCCTCGAAGAAAAAAGTGACAAAATTGATTTTGACTAGGGTCGCCCCTAATTCAAAATTGAAAATTGATTTTCTGTGGTGAACTTTGGTCAAAAAATTTTTTTGGCTGTTTTATTTGAATCGACATAAATCACATACCAATATTGTTTTTTTGTAATCCATAGCTTAAAAAAAAATCGAAAGCTAAAATTTCGACTACTCTATCTGAATTTTGTTCATACTCTTCACTGTGGAAACCAAAAAAAAAATTCTTTATCTTAAAACACTTGACAAAATGGCGAAATCCAATGTCTGTAAACAAGATCTTATTTTTCGATTTCGAAGGATCTTATTTTTCGAACGCGGGAAAAAAATTTGAATTCAAAATGTTCGTTATGAAAATTTGTTTACGTTTTCAATTCAAAAATTCGAAATTTTTTAAAATGGTTAAAATTTGTGGAATTCAAAGCTGTAAAGGAAGAGGAAATAGCAACATCCCCATATTTGAACTTCCAGAGAGTTCGATACATCGAGGAAAATGGATCGACTTTTTAAAATATCATGAAATTCAATATATTCAGTCAAAAAAGTATTTTTTGTGCGTTCTTCATTTTTGTCACTCTATGGTAAATAGGAATGCAAAGAGAATACGATTAAATGCGAATGCATTTCCATCTCTTGTAAGTATATACAAAAAATGTTATTTCAAGGAAACTATCGATAAGCTTATTAAAGCATTTGTTGAATTCAGGAAGAAGTTACAGTATCAGGGTCGCTTTATGCATAAAAGAAATGAATTTGCCTCAAAAAATAATTAAATTTTAAAGTTAATAAATATTTTAATGATTTCCAAAATTACTAACGTATTTTAAATTTTCAAATATGACAAAATTACTAACGTATATTTGTTTTTTAAAATTGATCATTTACGAATTTTTTCAAAATTTTCGAAAGCCAACTGATATTTATTCTGTTTACATACATTGGGGCGAAATAATTCATAATTAATTACTTTTTAATAAATTTTAACATTTACGAGAAAATGTGGTTCAAATAAGTGTGAAGTATGGCCGAGATTTGGACCAAAATCAGCTATACTGGTTCATAGTGTTCCCGAGGGTGACAAAATTCAAACTAAGTGTTTTTGTAGCTGACATAATTATGACATAAATTAGGTATATCTTTTGAACTGTGTAAATATGGGTCTCGGCCGTACTTCACACCCACGCATTCTTTGCTTTAAGATGAAACGGATTTTGATTTTAATTTCTAAAATTATTTGTAAGCTAAAATATCTTTTCTGATCTTAATGTTTTTAAATTTAAAATAATAATATTCTATGTATTTCATAAATACTGATTTTCAACTTAAAAATCAATCAAAAATGTAACAAAAATGACTTAAATTTTTCATGTATTTTTTCTGGTATTGAAGTTAAATGATGGATGACTCCAAAGTGATGAAGTATTGAAAATTGAGATGGTAAAATGTCATAAAAAGTATGTAAATTTTGATAAAAGAGGATAACTCAAAAACAATCTCGATAATCAAATATTGATTTTTTTATTTAGATGATTGTTCATGGTTTATCAACAACGATTTGTCATATAAGATTTTTAAGTGCATTAGCATGAATGTGTGAGATGAAAAATTCAGGAAATTAATTTGACTTCAGTATTGATTATATTTAAATTTTATAAACAGTAAAAGAACTTAACAAATGGGAGCATTTCATAAAATATTCAACAGCAATTATACATACATTCAACTTTTCTTACACACTTTGCTCTCCTTTTCATCGTTTATATTTGATACAGTGAATCAATCCATCCCGAGCGGCAGAAATGGCAAAAGCCATTGATGAACCATCCTGCTACACTAAATGGATCGATTTAGTGTTAATAAAGAATTCAAAAAAAAGAACCTTTGTTAGATCCGTTTTGTAGCTTATGCACATTTATATATATATATATACCTGTTTTTCGTTATAAGCTACTAGCTTAGAAGATTAAAAAAGTGATTTTTTTGGCTCTGTTTTCTCGTTATAAGCTAGTAGCTTAGAAGAATAAAAAAGTGATTTTTTTGGCTCACTAGTAGCTTAGTAACGAGTAGTAGGTTAGTTAAGAAATTGAACGTCAATGAAAATTTTGATTTTTTTAACTTAATTAGAGACTCATTGACAATGTCATAAGGCATTGAAACTGATACTTAGAAAGTAGAAAAAGATTAATTAAACTTTGTTTTTGGTAGTAGCTTAGTAAAGATTACAAAAAATTTTCAAGTTCAAAAAAATTTTATAATTTTTTCTATATATAATTTTATCTATGATATGCCAAGAGACGATGTCAACGTTGATTCGAAATAATTTTAAACTTGTTTCGAATGTATTTCGAACAAAATTTCGCAATTTCGAAAATAATATTTTTTATGAAAATTTTAACTTTTCGCAATTTTTGACTCAATTCACTTATTATTTAAGAATTGAATCCTTCAACTATGTCTTTTAACACTCATATAATCGTTTAATCGATGATAAATGCAGCAAACATTAGTTTAATATGATTGTTTTCAAAAATATTCTAAATTTTTTGTTGTTGTTTACATTCAAGATATATAGATGTGCTCATACAAAAATATCGCAGTTTTTAAACGTCAAAAATTTGAATTTTCTAAAAACACTAACACTATAAAAGAAAATTTTTAATTTTTGTTTTGCAAAATTTTCAACTTTCTGTTAAGTTTTGTTGATACAGGAGTATTGCAAATGCTTTGCTATAATTTAAAGAAACTGAATTAAGACAAATGTTGTTGCATCTGTCGATATTTAAATGAAAACTTGAAAATAGAAAATTTTAACAATTTTTGTTTGTATAAGTACACAAAAAATAGTATGGTCGAGTATGGTCAAGTATACTCTGTATGAGCCCATCTATATATCTTGTTTACATTGAAAATTAAAATGTCATTAATTCACTTGCATTAATTATTTAATAAATAAGTAATGATTCATTACAGTTGAGTGGATTTATTTAGCATTTTGATGATGAAAAAACTTTTTAAAAAACACGCTTTTATCAAAAAGACTAAAAACCAAAAAGATGAAAATAAAATAAGATCACACTTTTAGCGAATCAGGATTTTAAAAGTTTTCTTGTGACATCTAGAAATGGAACATAAATTTTTTTCAAAAAATTGTGATTAAGTCCAAGAACACAATGACTCTAAAAGCGTGGGGCTTTAAGATTTGACGCTTCTCTTACTTAAGAACTTAGTTGAACTAAGAAATTCATCCTTAAATTACGCCCCACGCTTTTAGAGTCATTGTGTACTTGGACTTAATCACAATTTTTTGAAAAAAATTTATGTTCCATTTCTAGATGTCACAAGAAAACTTTTAAAATCCTGATTCGCTAAAAGTGTGATCTTATTTTATTTTCATCTTTTTGGTTTTTAGTCTTTTTGATAAAAGCGTGTTTTTTAAAAAGTTTTTTTAAACATTTTTTTTATTTGCTACTTTTTAGTCTCAATCTTTTAATCGAATATCGACCACAACAATTCAAATTCAACTCCACTTCGTTTTACTCCGTTTTGTTCAACTGTTTATAGATTACATTTGTTCATTCATTTGTTTTATAGAATTTAAGTCATACCTGGAAACAGATGAAACTTCTTAAAAAATATCCTGAACTTCAATTATGTGCGCTTTCTGTGCTTTTAAAGCATTCATTAGTAAAGGACATTAAAAATGAATCTTGGAGATTTTGTGTTTATCTGTACCATTCCTACTACATAACGTGTGGATTCTTAACATAAAGATGCAACTCACATCTATATGTAACGTATTTATAACGGATTTTTCAAATTTAATTCAATGAATGTCATTTGTATGTTATGCAAATATACTTCAAGCCGTTAATAAATAGAAAAGTAAATTTAATTAAGTTGGTGAAGTTTTATAAATAATGTAATACATTAAAAACAGCATAAATTTATGCTCAAACTATGTGTGCTAAATGCACATCGCATATTGATAGTTATTTTGCATTAATTCGTAACGGACTTGTGCTTAACGGTTTTTTTGAAAATTCAAATTTTCACTTACGAAAATTCATGAAAAAATTACTTGTCAATTTTTTTTTCTTACCAGAATATCTTTAGCTGCTCAAATTTATGGTATAATTAATAATTAGTAATATTGATTAAACTATAGTGAATCATTTAAATGACTTTTGAGCATTTCAAGTATAATATTTTAAACAAATCAAAATTTCATATGATTGACATTGGATTTTTCTCTCAATTAAAAAAGTTTTATTAAAATTGTACTATAATTAAGCATTTTTGTGGTTCCAATGTGTTAAAATATTGTATTGTCACCGGGAATACGTGTGAATAAAAAATTTGAGCTCGATTGGAGCAGCAGAAGTGGTCGAAAAATCGATTGCAAGTTTTGAACGTGACAAAGAAACCAACAGACAGAGCAACTCAATAAAAAGCGTGTAAAAACAAATATGGGCAAATCCACGAAGCTGTGGAATCACAAAAAATCGCATTGTAATTATTCCTCTACTTGGTTAAATTTTTTTTGAAAAATAGAAAACCGTTATTATTTGTTTACCTTTTTATTGAAAATAAACTGAAAAATTAATTTAAAGCACAGTTAATATTATTTAAAAGCCATTAAAAGGTATCGGAAACATCCATTTAATTAAAACTTAATTAATTATCGAAAATTGAATAAGATTTGAGCTCGTAAATGTCACAATAATTTAACGAAAAGTTTTAATTCAAATATTTTAACTAAGCTTTCTCGATTTCTCGGTCTCGACAAATTCTCGAGACCGAGACCGAGACCGAGACTTCCCGGGAATTCCCGGGAAGTCTCGACTTTAAAAACTACTTAAAATTTCGCTGAAAGTAATTAAAAAACACTTAGAACATGTAGATTACGTCTATTTGTTATTGAACTTCTGGATATATTCCTTGTTATGCGATCAGTCAAACTAATTTTATTGTCTTAATACTATTATAAAATATAAAAGAAATACGAAATACGTAATGATAAAAGAAAAGCATAATGATAAGAAAGTGTGTCCCTATTAAAACTATTCTGGGTTTTGGAAATGACTTTTCACAAAAACGATAGCATTTAAGTTTTTGTTAAGCAATCGCTTCCTTTGCTTGGTCAAAACATTATTGCTGATTGAAAAATTACGTTCACTCTGGGTAGATGTTGGTTGAATGCTTAGCAGTGCATTATACAGCTGATTTAATTTTTAGTGATATTAAACCATTAGGAAGCTCAATAATTTGCACCCGAAAAATCCCATACAAAAAGAGAAAAAATCCCATACCTCCGAAGAGATTGAAGCAAATGAAAATTTCATGTGTGAAAATGCGCAAATTTCAAGGTCATTTACCCTAACTGTAAGATCAACTACAAACTGTGATGGGAAAAATTCTAAAATTATCATTTTTACATAAATTTTTTTCTTCTCTAGTCTCGGGTCTCGGTCTCGGAAAATTCTCGAGACCGAGACGAGATCGAGACCGAGACTTCCCGGGAAGTCTCGGTCTCGATTTCGTCATCGGGAAAGCATAATTTTAACGGTTATAAAAAATTTGAACTAGTATATTCTTGTGGCAAAGCGTTTTGTGTGACTCAGGAAGAAAATTTTCAAGAAATTAATTAATTTATCAGCAAATTTCCACTAAGCATCTACATTTTGCTTAATTATCTAATGCTACAACATGAAAGGAACAGATCTTGTTGATCAATGTCGCTTAAAAACTTATATTTTTTGAGATAATTGAATTTTTCGATGTTTTCCGCTTAAATGTGACTCAGGAAGATTTACAAAAAGTCAAATTTCTCTTTAATTAACGATTATAGAGAAGCAAATTTTTTTTATGGTCTTCTATTCACATTATTGCATTTATTAAAACATTCAATCTTTTTGAATAATGTGACATAAGAGAGAAATAATTACTTTAAATTGAAAAATTTTGTAAAAAAAAATTTTTTGTTTCGTGGATTTGCCCATATTTAAACCATTAATTAAAGAGATTAGACATTATTAATTTAACGTGTAAAAAAAATTTGAACTAATGCTCGAAAATAAGGTACCAAAAAAAATTCAATATCGAAAATAAGGACTCGTTGGCGTACCATAGAATTTTATATCTTTATATTTTATTTTTTCAAATTAATAATTGTTTCATGTGTGATGGGATATTCTTCTAATTATCTTTTGTAAAGTAAACATGACAGAATGACTCACAACGAACAAAATAAAGGGATAATGAAGTCAACTACGAAAAGCTGACAATAAGGCAATTAGTCATTTTACATTTTCATCCAAAATCCTTTAATTTACTGATACTTTTATCACATCGACATACTTTCATGATTACTCATCTAGGTATTTTTACTTATTCTAATAAAAATCACATTTTGGCGTGTTCTTCTCAAAACAAGAGCTCTTGTTAAATTCACTTAGTTCTAATCCGTTACATACCTAAACAGGTGAATACATTCAAAAAATATATTTTCAGTCAGTCATCTTCTCAGACGTACCTTACAAATAAACAAAACAACTGAGGTATGTATGTTGAGCTTTGAGAATCTTCTCATTAAAAAAGCTGTCACTCGCAATTTAAATCGCTTTTCAGGAAGATGAAAAAAGAGATGAAAGTAGAATTTATGAGTTGAGACAAACATTGATTTATGCGATAATCTTAGTGTTAGTACAACTTGGGATGATGTTATGCTTTCACAAGCTTTTACAAGGAACTGACGTTTCTCATTTCAAGCTTTTCCATTTAACATAAAGATTTCTGTTGGGCAACACCCCCCCCAAAAAAAAAACGACAAGAACAGTTTTAATAGCAATAAAATAAAAAGAACAATATTTTTATTAAAAGTTTCAAGAACTTCAATTAAAAATTTAAAAAAAAACTATTTAAATATTGAATTTATAAAACCTTGAAGAGATTTGTGGATCCTTCAATATAATGCTAACAAACTTGTGTAGTGGATTTTCTCATCAAGTTCTTTTCAAACGTACTTGCACCCATATGCGTACTCCTGTAAAAAAGTTAATTTATGAGAATTTCTCAAAAACATGTGAAATTAATGAAAAATTTCCATCTTTGAAATTATTACTAAGATTCATCCTTTACTTTTCTGAATTTCATCATTTGTAAAAGGAAAAAGCAGCGGATTTGATTTTTGTTTAAGCTTGAATTAAATAAATTAAGTTATTCCTAAAATAAGTTAAAGTTATCATTAAAATTATTGTGTCCACCCATTTTCACGGAAAAAAATCATCATTTATTACATTTAGCCAGAAAGATACGGAATTGACATGTGGGTCTTTCATAAATTGTAGATATTTTTTATCGCATATCATCAATCTTTATACATACTAAGTTAATATATAAATTATATCCTTAATTGAGAAGTGTTATGTCATAAATATTTGACGCATCATGCTATTTGAATGCCATTATATAATGAAAAACCTTTTTTTTGTGTTCCAGAAAAACGTACAATATTTAAAATAATATAATGAAAATTGGAACATGCATATTATTTACAGTAATCGTATTTTCTTTATTACAACTTCTTAAGCTTTTCAAGATAATTAAAAAGCGTTGTTATCATTCACTTTTAAGCATGAAATTTTTACTTTCGTCAACGATTAACAATCAATTGAAAAGAAAAAAAAATACAACAAAAATAAATTGCTTTCTGGTAAAGGACAGCACTCAATCTATCACATCAGACGGAATCCTTTTCAAAATCGGTCATGCATTCACGAATTAAGATAGAAATCGATAAAACGAAATATAATAGCATAAGAGAAGGGGGAGAACTCAATGAGTCCCTTTTCGTGATTCGTAATACTTCATCATATATTATTTACTTTCAACTTTTTATATTTTTCATAATTTAATAAAAAGAAGATATTGTTTTGTTTGACAAAATGATAAATAAATTATTAAATTTTTTCAATTTTGATTTTGTTACAAACGAAATATTAAATGTTCTAATGATTGTAAACTTTTATTCAATTAAATAAAAAAACTGCTCATCCAGTTTGCAATAACAGTTAAAAGAGCAATTTTTTTGGATTGAAATACGAATGTTGTCAAATTTTTATTATATTTTGTGTTGAGAATAATCTCTCTTTCTATATGCTTATTCCATAGGGAAATGTGTGATGTCGTGAAAAATTTAAAGCAATACTCTATCGAGCATAAAATGAAGAGCCTGCGTACTACATTTTCAATTGAAAACACTTCTCGTCACATGGTTAAGGGAAAATGCAACAATTTTTTTTTATTTCCTGGAATTATTTTACGGTAGTTACAATAGCTAAAGGAATGAATCATATTACTTTCAAAATTAATTAGAGCCTCTGAACTGTGGAAGGTTAAATTTTGTTCAACTAATAAAATTTTGTTAAAAACGTTAAAATCAATAAACAATAGTTTATATTATTTTTTCATGTTTACAATCTCATTCCAAATGCTAAAAATTTATTCCACGTTCCATCCAACACGTGAATCGTTCAAACTCAAACAGTTGTTATTTCCAGTATGGAAGAATTGCCATTGACTCCCATTGAAAATATGATATTTCTGTTCCTCAATTTTTTTTCTCTCGCGTATTTATGGGTAATTCCACAAATAAATTTTTCAAAAATTTCTCGTTTGACTCAAAATTTCTCTTTATTAGAGAACTTTAACTTCCAATTTTTTTAATATGGCTTATATAAAAAGTAGTTTTCTTTAATTTTGTCTTTTTCTTTATTGTTGTTATGCTTTAATTAATGAGATATTTCCACCTTAGTGAGTATTGCTTTTTGTAGTTGTAGTTTAATTAAATCATACCAAACGGTTTTATTGCAATAAAACGTCTTTTTATTTCTTCGAAGTTCGTAAACAGACTGAATTTGTATATGGAAAGGGGCAAACAGCTTTGTTATATTCATCTAAGTTATAATCTTGAAATCTTGAAGGTAATCTTCTATCTCTATTTGATCTACGTATTAGAGGGGATGACTATTTAGGAGTGTTTTGTTCTGAGTCGCAACTCTCATATGCATTGTCCGTAAAATCTAATTCATTTGCAATGTTATTTTTATTATCTAAATTAAGTTGCGGTTCCTCATTGAGTACCACACAAGAATATGATACTTTAGTCTGGTTATTTTCAGATGGTAATTCCTTATTCGCAGAAGGAATTTATACTTTACACTAATTGCCATTCGTACGAGTCTGATCTTTATGTCTTTTCACATAAATCCATTATCTATTTTAATCAGATAATGTAATTGACCTAATATCTTAATACCTTACGGCATCTTGCGCACACGAATTGTGACTAGGTATATTGCAGGGTACATCAGGTCTTATGACGTACTCGTGTCTTTGCAATGTGCAGAGCTTGCAAGTGGTTCGGATCCCACTATAAACTGTTGGTCTAAAGGGTGTGGTACAATAGATTCTGTTCTAATTTGAGTCGCAGTGCCTCCAGCTGAAAAGCTGGGCCCTTCACACATTATTATTTATGGGCAATTTCATAAAACGATTTGTCTACAAATTTTTCTCCAAATTGATTTTTACATCTTTAGACTATTCTAGACTACTTTACTCTAGACTATTATTCGGGATATTGATTAAAATATCCAAATAACTTAAATTAAACAGCAATTTGAACTATATTCATATCGAAAGCATGGTACACTTTTAAAATCATTAAATCAAAAGCTTTACAAGAAAAAAAATTACAAAATTGTAATTTGTTCTGAAAGTTATCCAAAAATTTGCCTATAGTTAAAGAAAAATTTTTTCGGAATATATTGGACATTTTTTTATTTAACTGATGTTTTCAAATTGACATTGCTTAGAACATTACTGTTTTTATACAATTAAAACAGCCAAAAATGTGTAATCCTATTCCAGCAACCGATTAAATAAATCAGTCAGAATTTTTGATCAAATTCATATTTTAGCATTCGATAAACACATTAAAATGACATATTTTCATATTGTTATAAAAATAGCTGGGGCCCGTCAAAAATGAATTCTACGTCATCGGAGACCACTTTTAGTCATTTTTTGTGATTTTTTTCCATGAAACTGTATTTTGTTCTTAATTGGTATTATAGAATTCGCCGAGACGAAGAGTTTGACACCATTATCATTTTCCTAGCATGTCTGGTTCCTTCTGTAGAGCCATTCGAATATCCACCGATGACGTAGAATTTTCGGGAAAGGGTATTTTGAGTGGAAACAACCTTTAATAACTTCTTTATTCCCAGCTTAAATTTTAGTTTTTCTGTACAAAACTGTGCTATTCCTTCTATTTGTTCATTCAAATTATCATTTTTATCAATAAAATGATTGGAAATTACTTAAATTAACACTTGAAGTTTCAAAATCTTGTAACGAATATCATTTTTTTGAATTTTCTTGTATGTTTTCAGTCAACAAAAGAATTTTATTTTTTCGAAAATTGCTGAAAACATAATTAAAACGTAACAGAACTCATATTTAAATGTCGATAGTATGTTTCTAAGGTTCTTTTTTGTGTTTTAAAAGAGTCAAAGTTACAAATTCACGAGTATTAATTAGATTTTCAGCTGATTAAAGTTTTGGTAATTTTGCTCGAAAATATGAGAAATTTTTGAATTTTATTAAACCGTTAAACTGAAATTCCTATTATTTTTGACGGGCCCCATATAATCTCATGATATCCATAATTTTTGACTTTTCTCAAAATCATTGGTTTCACTAAAGACATTTACCGAGATGTCAATCTCGAAATTGTGCTTGTGGTCAAATTGGACGCAAGATAAAAGTGGATTCAGGTGTCAAGCAGGGATGCATTTTATCTCCTCTCTTATTTAACATCGTATTATGTACCTACACGATGAGGTTGTCCAAAGCAGCTTCTTAGTCTATGGGAATCCATCTGGACGTAAAATCGATTGTAAAGAAGGTTAAGAAGGTTGAAGATGATAATATTTAATTGAAATGTAAAGTCCGTATTGCTTTATGGATGCGAAATTTAGAAGGTTGGAAGGAAGATAAAGGCACTGTGCTCCAAGTAATCGTAATCTTGGACCAAAAATTTTTTAATGTGAAAAATTTACGGGGGAGGGGGGGAGGGGGGGGGGGTGGGGGGTGATTTTTAAGATTATTTCATAAAAACCCTAATAAAGAAAAATTAAGAAATTTCTGTTAACGAAAGGGGGATTTATCAAGCACCCCGCCCTCTTCCTTGGCTTACTTAATAAAAACAAAAAAATATTTAAAATTACTTGGGTAGTAATTCAAAAAAATCTTGATAAAAGATTAGTTCTACTTACATTATTTAAAATTTAGATCAATAATTTTTCCAAATAAATTATAAAGGGAACTTTGATAAGAACCGAAAGATAAATTTTTCAAAGCAATCAATAAATTTCCAAATCTTGCAACATTTGATACAACATTTGACGAAACATCAAAAGACACTCTACTGTCGAATAACATTTCTATTTCATGTAATTTTTTATGAATTTTTTGCGAGTTCGTAAAAAATGAAGCTTCTGATGTTTGCGGTATTGATGAAATATAGGAGGCCAATCGATCCAAAGCATTTTTTAAATTGAGTTTTAAATTTAAATGTTCTTTATCGTCAACTGCATATTCCGGTCTCGAGAGAATTATTTCTTCTAATAATGACAGTTCCATTAAATCAGGATTCAATTCTCTCAACTCTTTTATTAAAACCATTAAATGCTGAAAGCCACATCTTTCAATTGCATTTGTAATATCAATCGACCAGTAAGATATTTTTAATAGAAATAATTCACTCCATACATGTTTCAATATGTAGTTTTGTTGAGTTTTTGATATTGAGTAGAAGTGTTCATTTTGTTGAGCTTGACTTAAGCAAGTCATCAAAACTTGAATTAAAATTTCCTGTTGATTATCATTTTCATAGTTTTCGTTATATAACTTCTTTTTATTGGTTTTTAAAATAGATGAATCCATTGAGATTAAATTTTTAGTCTTTGATTTGAGTTTCAAATGTCAAGGTCCTCGTTCATCTTGTACCGCTAAAACATTCATCTCAACTGCAAAGCATTTCTGCAGTCGACAATGTGGGCACCAATTTCTTCTAGTTTTATCAACAATACATTCATTCGTTCCTGCTGAATAATTTGGTTTCGTTTGCTATTAAACGAATTAAATAAGAAAATGTATTTATGATGCTTACCAATGCACGAATAAATAACTTGTCTTCGTACACTTCTCTTAAAAAAACAAGAACATCCATCACAACAAAAAACGCCGTAATGTTTTCCACTTGACTTATCTCCGCATACACGACAAATAATAAAATTCTCAGTTAAACGACTTTTCCAATATCGTTTCATATTTTTTAAAACTTTTTTTTTGATCACTTTCACTTCCGTTCGTTTTCGAATTAAAAAGCAAATTGACAGTACCTCGTCTATTACCCTACAAATTTATAGTGTTGGCTGGCTCTTAAAGTTGATAAACTGTTGATTTTGTCCTTAAAAGAATTAAGCAATACTTAAAAGCATTACTGCAGTGTCATCGTCATGTATAAGAAACGTGCAAAGAACCCTTCACATTATATTTACATTCATTATTTCTGATAATAATCAAGTCAATTTTTATTGTGACGTGAATTTAATCAATAAATTAATTTACAGTCATACACATTGTCAACCAAATTGAAATGTTTGTTAAATATCCTCTTCTCTTCTCTTCTTTAAAATTTGTGCCATTTAATCAAATAAACATTTAATTTATCGAAAATTTTCCATCTAAGGGAGATGAAAAATTTAAAAAAGCTAGCGCATTGATATGAATTAAAAATTAGGATTATCCTCGGATTGAAAAAATGGATAACCCGATCAGCGGGTAATTCACCTTAGTGAAACTGCACGAATAAGTGTACAACCTCTTATACGCTTGTGACATATAAATATTTGTAATAATAATCTCGTTGTGTAATGGTCACAACGTAAACAGTGAAGAAAAGCGTGTATTCATAAAATTCATTTTGAATTATGCAAGTCAAATTGAGATGCCCGGTAATAACACCGACGCGGAATAACTTCACAACGCAGCTCCGGAATAATGTCGAAAATTTAAAATGCATAGAGCGGTAATAACTTCACCTATATAGCCTGAGTGAACTTATTCCGGCGTGGCGCAGGAATAACTTCACCTAGAAAATGAAGGTGAAGTTATTCTTGCACGCTGTAGGAATAACTTCACTTATATGTGCCAAGTGAAATTATTCCTGCGCCACGTCGTAATAATTTCACAAATTTTTGTTCATCGACATTATTCCGTCATGATGCAGGAATAACTTCACTTATAATTTCTATGTGAAGTTATTCCTGTTTTGTGTAATTACTTTTATGTTATTTTTTAAGGGTTTTTTATGATATTTAATTAATAAAGTTCTTCAGTAATATGTTTTGAAGTTTGTTGCGGATTTTATTCTAATTTGATGTAAGACAAGATAGTTTCTTATATCTTCGAAATTAATTTGGAATATATAGTAAGTTCACTACTAATTCGTAATTACTTTAAATATCAATTAAAACTTTAATTAATTTTTCTGGAGTTATAGGCTCTTTTGCTGAAATATCTCTATTAGATATCAATCTTGTGATATTAACACATGTTTTTGTATCAAAAAGGCAGGCTTTAGATGAGAATTTAATAGATAAAATTAACAAAACTTTTGTCAACAGTGTCAATTGGTAACATAAGAGCGCTTCCATACAAAATTAAAATTCAAAAAGTTGCACAATTAGCTAATTTTACCTTGTTTAATTAAACTAGAAGCAAGTGAAATGATAAAATATACATTTTTTCAATCCATTAGAAGGATAGCTTGCAACAAAAGAAGTAAAATCTAGTGTTCAAAATCTTACCAAAAAACTCGTGAGAAAAATTTTCTCAGAGAAAACTTGATTTAAAATCTCGCGAGTTTTCAAATCTCGTGAAATTTTTTTCTCACGTCTTAATCTCAATTGAGATTTTTAATCTCAATTTGTGACGTCACAAGGGAAATTTTTCAAAAAATTTGAATGAAATTTTTGAACACAAAGGTTAATGGAAGTTTTTCTGATATTGACTGTGTTCCTGTTTTTGAATGTACATCAGTTTACAGCTTCAATGCCTCTGGATGCTTTTTTGATCTCTTTAAGCATTTCTGAGTGTGAGAACTAGCCGTTGAGAACCTTTTCGTTTAAATTTTAATACAAATGCTATGCCATCGTAAAGGTTGGTTAAAAATGAACTTTATTTATCCAGTCCCCAAAAGTTCGAAAAACTTTATTTTCTAAGATTTCGAACACTAGATTTTACTTCTTTTGTTGCAAGCTATTCTTCTAATGGATTGAAAATTGTATATTTTATCATTTCACTTGCTTCTAGTTTAATTAAACAAGGTAAAATTAGCTAATTGTGCAACTTTTTGAATTTTAATTTTGTATGGAAGCGCTCTTATGTTACCAATTGACACTGTTGACAAAAGTTTTGTTAATTTTAGCTATTAAATTCTCATCTAAAGCCTGCCTTTTTGACACAAAAACATGTGTTAATATCACAAGATTGATATCTAATAGAGATATTTCAGCAAAAGAGCCTATAACTCCAGAAAAATTAATTAAAGTTTTAATTGATATTCAAAGTAATTACGAATTAGTAGTGAACTTTCTATATATTCCAAATTAATTTCGAAGATATAAGAAACTATCTTGTCTTACATCAAATTAGAATAAAATCCGCAACAAACTTCAAAACATATTACTGAAGAACTTTATTAATTAAATATCATAAAAAACCCTTAAAAAATAACATAAAAGTAATTACACAAAACAGGAATAACTTCACATAGAAATTATAAGTGAAGTTATTCCTGCATCATGACGGAATAATGTCGATGAACAAAAATTTGTGAAATTATTACGACGTGGCGCAGGAATAATTTCACTTGGCACATATAAGTGAAGTTATTCCTACAGCGTGCAAGAATAACTTCACCTTCATTTTCTAGGTGAAGTTATTCCTGCGCCACGCCGGAATAAGTTCACTCAGGCTATATAGGTGAAGTTATTACCGCTCTATGCATTTTAAATTTTCGACATTATTCCGAACTCACGATTTTCTCTACAAGTGAAGTTATTCCGCGTCGGTGTTATTACCGGGCATCCAAATTGATGATATTCAAATATGTATGTTTTTGTATTGTTAAATTCAAGCAGCAATGAGTAACAATCAAAGAGGACAACTTGTTTACTTTTACAAATTGATCCATTTAAATAACGATTCTATACAGGGGGGAGCATATTTTGTTGGAAAAAAATTTGTTGGAACGGATTTTGTTGGAAAATAATTATTTGGAAAATATTTATTTGGAAAATAATTTTTTGGAAGTGAAAAAATTTGGAATGGAAAAATTTGGAAGAACATTTTTTTGGAACGGATTTATTTGGAATTTCATTATTTGGAAAATAAAAAAATTGGAAAAATAAACATTTGGAACTCATTTTTTGGAACAGAAATTTTTGGAAAATATATTTTACCTGAATGTTCAATTATCAAATCTTATATGATATATTCATTTGAATATAAATTGGCATCATTATACTCTTTTTTTTTGTCCTAATCCGTGGAAAATTAAAGAATTTTAAAACATAATCTTTCAAATGTTTCCTTAAATTTATTGAATAGTTTTTTACCGTTTTTTAATAGATCATTCGTAAAGAATCAAGTCTTTTATGATTTGTAAAAGTTCTAGCGTTTTAATCCTTCATACATAAAATGAAATTAAAGAAAATATATTTTTGAGAAAAATATAGGGTATTGGACATCTGGCAGAAAGTAATTCCTAGGAATTCCTAGAAATTTTTACGTAGGCTCCTAGGAATTCCTAGGAAATACTAGGAATTTCGGAAAATCCTAGTAATTCCTAAGAACCTTATTTTAGGAACTAAAATTTTTAAATGATTACTATGATTTCCTAGTATATACTAGGATTTCCTAGGATAGCTCATTAAATCTTGGAGGAATTTCCTCAAAATCCTAGAAGTTCCTAAGATTTCAAAATATATTAAATGAATTCTTAAAGGAATTTCCTTACTATCTGTAGAATTTACTAAGGATCCTAAGATTCCTAATGATATTAAATGAATTCTTAAAGGAATTTCCTTACTATTTGTAGAATTTAATAAGGAACCTAAGATTCCTAATGATATAAAATGAATTATTCAAGGAATTTCCTAATACTGAAGAATTTGCTAAGGATCCTTAGGATCCTTACAAATTCCTGGGAATTTTAGTAAAGAAATTTACTTTTATGTCCTGTTAATGCACTATGGGGCAAAATTGAAAAAAGAGGGACTTTCACATTGATTTTGGGACTTTTTCGAATTACATTCTCAAGTGAATTTTTTCTTGTAGAGGACATAAAAACTGACTTCTATGCCAAATTTCAAGTCATTTGGTGCTGTTCCTGCAAAATTATGGCTGTTTGAAGTCGGAAAATAGCAAAAAAACAGATTTTTTCAGTCCAACTTTGAAGTCAAAACTCTCTGCAACGGTTAATTAAAATAAAAAAACGGTTTTCAGTTTCTAGTAGTCCTATAAGCGGTGAAATGGCATCAGTGACCTAAATGGTAGAGCGTTGGCCTTACGTGCCAAAGGTCCTGGGTTCAATCCCAGGCCATGTCTAATTTTCGTAGCTCTTTTTCCATTTCACCGTTCTAGTTACGAAGCTCGGTTCGTGTGTTGGGTGTAGTATTGATGTCTTTGGCATAGAATATGCCTCCTTTGCTAGGTATACAAGGATATACTAGCATCTGGATGACTTCCTTACGGCATCTTGCGCACACGGATTGTGACTAGGTACATTGCAGGGTACATCAGGTCTTATGACGTACTCGTGTCTTTGCAATGTACAGAGCTTGCAAGTGGTTCGGATCCCACTATAAACTGTAGGT